GCTTGGTTGATATTGAAGGATCTTCTGGGCATCACGGAGAGTAAGGTGCAGTAAAGAATCATCAGAAGTACCACATATTCTTATTTTTCAATTTTCCACATAGTGTCAACTAGTGCAGCCAGTGACTTAACATTTCATGCATGTATGGGAAGAACACAAATGATATAACAGCTATAGAAAATTGTATCTGGTTTTGAGTTTTCTTTTTTTTCTCTTTTGTTTTGAGATAGGGTCTCATTCTGTCCCAGACTAAAGTGCAGAGTACAGTAATTAGTGAGATCATGGCTCACTGCAGCCTTGAATTCCTGTGCTCAAGTGATCTTCCTGTCTCAGCCTACCAAGTAGCTGGGACTACAAACACAAGCCACTACACCGGGCCTTTTTTTTTTTTTTCTTTTTCTGAATGTTATTTTGAATCAAGATACTTTGGTCTCATGTTTCAGCTATGTTGGATTTACATAAGTGATAGTAAGAGTTTATTTAATTTGGAGTAAAATGCTTTTATTAAATTATATCTGGTGTTACCCTTTTGTGTTTAAAAGAAGTGCTTTAAATGTCTGACAAGTGGGTAAACTGTTCACGTTGCCTCTTTAATTTCAGAGTGCTCGTCTTCGGGCCGCTGGCATTGGAAAAGATTTCAAAGAGAATCCCAACCTCAGAGATAACTGGACCGATGCAGAAGGCTATTATCGTAAGTTCACATTTTATATTAACTTTACAGTTCATTGTAACACTTTGCAAAAAAGCATGCTGCTTGATGCAATCACAGATTATTGGAGAACTCTGAAAAATCACATCACAGTGCCATCCTTAAAAAGTGTAGCACATCCAACAGCTGCATGAACTGATGTGTATTCTGTAAGCAGCCCAGAGGCATCACAAATGGAGGTGAGGTAAAGTCTTGATGTACAACCTAAATCTATTCAAAGTTATTTTCAGCCATGAGATAGTCTTCCAGAAGGAAGGGGTACGTCACTTACTCGTCTTGATCTGAAACCAAGAAAAACAACAAACAGAAAACTTTGGATGCCAGTCTTGCAGTATTTGTCATGCAGGACTACAATTAGAAAAACTTACTCAGTGTTAAAATTGTCAGCAGTTGATAGGACAACAGAAACTCTTCTAGTGATCTGAAGTGGGCATGCAGCTTCTAACCACACTCTGATAGAGTGATCAGTGGAGGCATGGCTTTGATTCTTCATTGTGTCTAGGAAACCAACTAGTAGAGATTTAACACAATTTTAAAGTGACTGCACTGTGTTTCCTCCTTTCTGATTCTATTTATTATAGTCAGAATTCTAATTTTTTAATTTGCTTTTTTAGGTGTGAACATAGGTGAAGTCCTAGATAAACGTTACAATGTGTATGGCTACACTGGGCAAGGTGTATTCAGTAATGTTGTACGAGCCAGAGATAATGCAAGAGCCAACCAAGAAGTGGCTGTAAAGATCATCAGAAACAATGAGCTCATGTAAGTTCAGAAGACGTGGGAGGAAACCTGTAACAGTACAGATATTACAGATGAACATGTTTTCAAACTATTTTTTTAAAGTGATACATGATACAATGTGTAAAACAAGTATTGCAATTATAAAGTAATGGAAACAGTTGTGTTTGACTGGATTTTAAAATTATAGCCATATGTTATATGTACTAGAACAATAGACTGATTATTTTTCATTCATTTCAGTGCATTGTAGTACCTACTATATGCACTGATAACAACTTAAACTCCTCTCTGTTGCCTGTCTTATGCCATCCTTTGCTTTATTTGAAGACGAGTAGAGAAATGAAAAGATCATACTGATTAGCTGTCACTAAGGTGACTTGCAAAAGAGTGAAAATTTATCCAAGTGATGAGAATCTGTCTTTTTTTAATTTGTTCCTGTTTTCCTCCAGTAGAATAGTTAATTGCCATACCTGTATGTTTTAATTCCACACACTGAGCTGGTATTAAAATGAACTTAATGTTTTTGAAATGTTAGAAATAAGTGTTAAGTTTAGGTTGCCCTAGGCTTAGAAAGGGCCTTGTTTTGATGGGAAGCCCCAACTTCTGTATTTAGCCGCTCACCATAAAATGTAGCTTGTTGACAAATTGTAACAGGAATTTCCTCAGATAACCAAGTGTTAAAATTTGATAATGCGTCCATTACTACATTCTGTTTTGGTTGGTTTTTTGCTTTTATTTTTTTTTTGAGACGGGGGTTTTGCTCTGTCACCCAGGCTGGAGTGCAGTGCCATGATCTCGGCTCACTGCAACCTCTGCCTCCTGGGTTCAAGGGATTTTCTTTCCTCAGCCTCCCGAGTAGCTGGGATTACAGGTAGCTGCCACCATGCCCAGCTAATTTTTATATTTTCAGTAGAGACAGGGTTTTGCCACATTGGCCAGGCTGGTCTTGAGTTCCTGACCTCAAGTGATCCACCTGCCTCGGCCTCCCAAAGTGCTGAGATCACAGGCGTGAGCCTCTGCACCCAGTCGATTATTGCATTCTTAAAGGAACCAAGACTAGTGTGCAATGTGGTTTCATTTTTGTTAAAAATAATGTCAAGATGTGGGTTATTTTTTTTATTGATTTTTTTTTTTTTTTTTTTTTTTTACGATGGAGTTTTGCTCTTGTTGCCCAGGCTGGCGTGCAATGGTGTGATCTCAGCTCAACTGCAAACCCTCCATCTTCCAGATTCAAGCACTTCTGCCTCAGCCTCCCAAGTAGCTGGGATTATAGGCGCCTGCCACCACCGTTGGCTAATTTTTGTATTTTTAGTAGAGACAGGGTTTTGCCATGTTGACCAGGCTGATCTTGAACTCCTGACCTCAAGTGATCCATCCGCCTCCGCCTCCCAAAGTGCTGGGATTACAGGCATGAGCCACTGCGCCTGTCCTGTTTTGAGATAAAATATACAATATTGATATTCCTTCAGGCAAAATCAAAATTTTTAAAAAATCAAAATAAAGATGGATTTGTTCCTCAGTGTTTCTGTTTTGTGCATTGATTATTTTGGAAATTAACTATGATAATGATAGTTGACTAAATACAAAGTATTATGTGAATGATATATAGAGACATCATTTCTCAGTAGATTTATTAGTACTTAAAAATAAGCAGACTCCTCCCACACATCACCTGATCATCAGACTGGGGCTAGCAAATATATTATGTAGTGCTCCTAAATTCTATATATATTCAATTTTAACCCAATTTTTTTTTTTTTTTTTTTAGGCAAAAGACTGGTTTAAAAGAACTAGAGTTCTTGAAAAAACTTAATGATGCTGATCCTGATGACAAATTTCATTGTCTGCGACTCTTCAGGCACTTCTATCACAAACAGCATCTTTGTCTCGTATTCGAGCCTCTAAGGTACAATGTCAAAACCTATGCATTACATTGAAAATTTAACTTCTTCATCTTTACCATCCCATTTTGGATAAATGCTGTGACAGATTTTCTGGGTATTTGATTTATTTTATCCACAAAGCTCTGGTTTTGTTGTTTAATTTTTGGTTAACAGCTGGTCTTTGTTGTTGTTGTTGAGACAGTCTCACTCTGTTGCTCAGCCTGGAGTACAGTGGTGCAGTCTTGGCTCACTGCAGCCTCCGCCTCCTGAGTTCAAGTGATTCTCGTGCCTCAGCCACCCAAATAGCTGGGATTACAGGTGCACACCACTACACCCGGCTAATTTTTGTATTTTTAGTACAGACAGGGTTTCACCATCTTGGCCCGGCTGGTCTTGAACTCCTGACCTCAATTGATCTTCCCACTTTGGCCTCCCAGAGTGTTGGTGTTACAGGTGTGAGCCATCGTAATCCCAGCTAGTCTTTTGAATCATGAATCTACAAACATTAGTTGACTATGCTGTACACCAGACACTACTCTCATGGAGCCCATAGGTCAACAGAGAGAGTCTCTTAAAATGAAATATTTCAAGGAATTTTTATCTTCAACAGTATGGCTTTGTTGTGTTTTCAAATGTGAATCTATTCTGAAATCTAAATGGGAGTTTTACCTTGCCTATCTTTCTTCCTACTTATTTAGAAAATTGAATTTATTGGGAAACTGTGTTATATACATACAATTTGATACGCTCTCCTTTCAGTATAAAATAATTTATCAAATGTGGGGACGGCTCTTAGGTATTTTTATTGTTTGTATTCTGCACTTGATTGTACTTTACGCTTGCAAATGTTTTTGCCTTTTTATATTTCCATTTTGCATTTTAACTCCTATTTTGTTTTTTGTGTTTTATTTTCTCCTAAAAGTATGAACTTACGAGAGGTGTTAAAAAAATATGGTAAAGATGTTGGTCTTCATATTAAAGCTGTAAGATCCTATAGTCAGCAGTTGTTCCTGGCATTGAAACTCCTTAAAAGATGCAATATCCTACATGCAGATATCAAGCCAGACAATATCCTGGTAAGTCAAACAGTCAAGCTGTCCTGTACATCTTATACATCCATATCACTTCTTACTAGCAATATGATTATTATGAGAAATGACAGAAGCATAGTTCAGTATATTAATAACCTATTTCAAGTGACTAATAATTTTTATCTTTCTTGGAAATCGGACAGTGAAATTTTATTGACAAGTATGAAGAAAAAGGAAATGTGCAGTTGTCCCTTTTTTTCTCTTTTGATTGATGGATTTAAAGGATGCACCAATCCTGGAATTCTTTAATGTAGTAATAATGAGTTTCTTCTGTTATCTTAAAAAAATGCTGCACATGTTGCTGTTTTGAAATAAAGAGTGTTCCTACTCTTCTGTTTGCTAATTTTATAGCTCCCTAAGCTGTGGCTCCTGGGGGCCCAAACACAATAAAGCTCAGTTGTGGTTAGGTATTCTATTTAAAGGCATCGCTTTTGAAGTTTTTTTATTTTATTTTTAAACTTTTAAGTTCAGGGGTACATGTGCAGGCTTGTTACACAGGTAAACTTGTGTCATGGAGGGTTTGTAGCCATTTTTCCTGATTCTCCCACCTCTCACCCTCCAGCCTCTGACGGACCCCAGTGTGTATCGTTCCCCTGTGTGTCCGTGTGTTCTCACCTTTTGCAATCTTCATCCTCTTCCACTAATGACCTCTGGTGGTAATGTGCAGATTTCACAATGTATATGTTTTTTTTTGTTTGTTTGTTTTTGGGTTTTTTTTTTGGTTTTTTTGTTTTGTTTTTTTGAGACAGAGTCTCGCTCTGTCGCCCAGGCTGGAGTGCAGTGGCCGGATCTCAGCTCACTGCAAGCTCCGCCTCCCGGGTTTACACCATTCTCCTGCCTCAGCCTCCCCAGTAGCTGGGACTACAGGCGCCCGCCACCTCGCCCGGCTATTTTTTTGTATTTTTTAGTAGAGACGGGGTTTCACCGTGTTAGCCAGGATGGTCTCGATCTCCTGACCTTGTGATCCGCCCATCTCGGCCTCCCAAAGTGCTGGGATTACAGGCTTGAGCCACCGCGCCCGGCCGTATATGTTTTTGAAATTTTGAAATACATACATATTATCATAGTGATGGGATTAATGTACACACACACTCCTCCCCTCCCCGGCCCCATTACTTCACCCTCTTTTGTGGCCTTCAGTTTGGGTCGTGTTCACAAATTGGAGAATTCCAGCTTATCTTCTGGTAACATTCTGCATTTCATTTTTTTAAAACGGGTTCTTTTTATCAGCTCTCCTACAGTTGATGCCTAGGAGAGATCCTAAAGACTAATAGGGTGTTCTTTATTGGGAACTGTTGAAGCTATAACAAAATAAATACTTTTTATTTTTTCTTTTGTTTTGTTTTGAGGCAAGGTCTTGTTCTGACACCCAGGCTAGAGTGCAGTGATGCCATAGTGGCTCACTGTAACCTCGAACTCCTAGGCCCAAGCAGTTCTCCTGCCTCAGCCTCCCCAGTAGCTGGGACTACCCACAGGCATATGCTACTACGACTGCCTAATTAAAAAAAATTTTTTTAGAGATGAGTTCTTGCTATATTGTCCTGGCTGGTCTCAAACCCCTGGGCTCAAGCAGTCCTCCTGCTGCAGCCTCCCAAAGTGCTGGGATTATAGGTGTGAGCTACCATACTTGGCCAAAATAAATTCTTTAAAAAATGGTGATCTCATTGAAGTTTAAGGACTTTTTATCAATAACTAAGCTCTTTAATTCATATTTCTCTTTTTGTTTTTTCTTAATATCTTAAAACATTTCCTTCCAGACAGCCACATTAGTAGTGAGGTGCATTCCATTTTTATATTTGGTCTGAATTATTATTGTATTGTATGTCTAATGTAACTTGGAGTTAAGGGAGCTGAGTAATTACATTGAAATGGTAAGTGCATTAAAAATGAATTGTAAATTTCTGTGGCCAATTTCATAGTTGATTTTTACCTCAATTTTTTTTTTCTTTTTTTATGAGACGGAGTCTCACTCTGTCACCAGGCTTGAGTGCAGTGGCGCGATCTTGGCTCACTGCAACCTCCGACTCCCTGGTTCAAGCGATTCTCATGCCTCAGCCTCCCAAGTAGCTGGGATTATAGGCAGATGCCACCACGCCTGGCTAATTTTTGTATTTTAGTAGAGACAGAGTTTCACCATGTTGGCCAGGATGGTCTTGATTTCCTTAACCTCGTGATCCGCCCGCCTTGGCCTCCCAAAGTGCCGGGATTACAAGCGTGAGCCACCATGCCTGGCCGATTTTTTGTTTTTTAATTGTGAAATACATGGTTCATGTCAAAGAATATACAAAACATGTACAATTTAAAAGGTCATTTACAGTGAGCATCTTTGTAACCATTGTGGAGGTTAAAGAATAACACATTTACCAGTGTCATAGAAGAAGCTCTTGTTTTTAAAAGCTAATGCTTAACTAGTATAGGTTTTCACATACATTTAAGAAATGTTTTCCCTTCTTCCTGGGGAAGGGAAAAATAGACCTCAGTGACGGAGCTGATTTTTGTTAATGGAAGTCCAAAGCCTTTGGCTCGTGATTTCAGGCATCAGTGTGGTTTTTAAATACCACATTCCTCATGGCAGGAGTAGAAGTTGTGTAGCAAACTGAAGTGCATATGAGTATGGATACCCTGCTGTTATTTAAGGCATTTTAGCCAGCCCAAGAGTTCCACTGATAAGATTCTAATTTTAAAATGTTTCTTAAGTTTTCTGTGGGTATTGAAACTGCTTAAGTAGCTGAATTCAGCTTATACTTTAAAAAGTTTTAAAAGAACTTTTCTATTTTAAGTTGCTTTTCTGATTCCCAAGACGAAAAGAATGGTAATCAATGTGGGAGTTAAAAATAATCATTTCTGTTCCTATTAATAGCTTAACTCTGGGTATCATTTATAATAGTCCAATCTCCCCACAGAGACTGCCTAAGGCTAAAGTGTTATGCTGCTTTGGGGTGGGAGCAGTAGGCCAAGTTCAAGTCCCAACTCGGAATTTGTATGTGTCTCTTTTGAAGGGGGGAAGGGACTCTGGAATATGAATTATCTTCACTTGTTAATCCTGAACATGCTTCTGACTCATGAGTGGCAGCAGTCATGGGAGCAACTCCAGCCTTTCTCAGCAGATGTCACTATTACTGTGTATGTTGAAGTATTTACAAAGGAAAAAAGGAACAAATGACTAATATAGAGTTCGTGTTTATCAGTTTTGCCAGATATGTTTAACATTTTCTTGACTAATACCTTCTTTATATTTAAGGGCTAATATTTTTTAGACTTGAAGTGATTGCTAAGTTTGGGATGATATGGCAGCTTCGGGTGAAGAATGTTTTGTTTTTGTCCAAGTTTAATCTGAATCACCCTTCTGCTTTCGTTGCCATCGTAATTCTCTGGCAACTGAAAGTTAACTTAAATATGAGTCCTTAGTAATAAAACTTTATTCAGGTATTCAGGGTCTTTTTAGAAGATGCATTGCTTCATAAAATTACCCCACCCTTTTAAAAATGCAGTTGTTAAAATCAATGTACTTTGTGTGGTATCCATGTCCTCACTGAAAACAGTTTCTACTCATTGTAATGAATATTTGATACATATTAACTTTTCATAGGAAATTGAATTAAAAATAAATAGAAAAGGAACTTTTAAATGAGTGTCTTTGTTGTCAGTATTGGAATTAATATAACTTTTCAAAGCCAATAATTTTTATTTATTTGTATTAATTATTCCTGGCTTGAATTAAATTCCGTTGAAAAAATGTTTTGCAGGTTAATGAATCAAAAACTATTTTAAAGCTTTGCGATTTTGGGTCGGCTTCACATGTTGCGGATAATGACATAACACCTTATCTTGTCAGTAGATTTTATCGTGCTCCTGAAATCAGTAAGTTTCTTAATGTTCTTTGACCTGGGCCATCATATGTGGTGGAAACCGCATACTTAATGTCTAAGCACTGTTTTCCATCACACTTCAGCAGCTGCACGAGTTCATTCCTGAGGAAGGGAACCGTAGCAAGTTCATCCTCCTCAGGTGGAATGAAGGTAGTTGTGACAGGAGTCTTGATCATGTCGGGCAAGAGTAGCAAAACAGTTGTGGAAAATCCTCGACTTTAGAAGACTGCTCTTGATTATTCAAGGTCTGATTATCACATTTATGGATTGTATGGGACCTTTGTTTTTTCCTGTTGCCTTGGTTGAGGCTGATTAGCACCTCCACCAAAGGTGAAATGAGAAAAGAGAAGAAATACATATTTTCTTTTGCCCTTTAAGTTCCTCCCCCACACCTCCATTTTTTAAGGTTTTTAAGTTTGAGTCTCTATTAAGAATTAGTGGGAAAGAACACAAAACTAATTGTCAAACTAAGGCATTAAGATTGTGATTATAGTCCAAGCTAAGGTAGCCCCTCATTAGTGGAAATAAAATTAATAGTAGTCAGTTTTCCTTGTCCTCATATATTAAAACTTTGATTTTGTTTTCAGTTATAGGTAAAAGCTATGACTATGGCATTGATATGTGGTCTGTAGGTTGTACCTTATACGAACTCTATACTGGAAAAATTTTATTTCCTGGCAAAACCAATAACCATATGCTGAAGCTTGCGATGGATCTCAAAGGAAAGATGCCAAATAAGGTAAGACATTAGCATGAGCTTCTTTAAGGTCTTAGTTTCTTATAAACTGACAGACTGCTGACATTTGCTCACCACTGGTGAACTATAAAACAGCAATTTCAGAAAGGTGGGTAGATGGCTATCATGATTTCTTAGGGTCTTTCCCTTTTCTGGTGTTTCAATTAGTGGTTCTAATCAGCTGAGAGCTAAGGATAAGAGAACTTTTTCAATGATGGACAGAGAGCAGCAATATTTTGGGAATGCACCTTTATTGGTAAAAGTTTCAAAATGTTTGGAAGATAGAATGGAAAAAGATGTAGATCGAGTTAGGTTAAATATAAGAAAGTGCTTAGTGGTCAGAGAATGAATAGGTGAATATTGGATATTGTAAGAGGAACTTGATGTTAATTAATTAATTAAAGATTGGAGGTTATTTGAGAAAGGTACCAAGAAAATGTATTTAATATCTTTCTAACTCACCCTTGATACTTCAGCTATAGTACTAGTTTCTGTTTAACATGAAGCAAGAATTTAAGCATTTGTTAAAGTGTCTGAGGGCCATAACTTAGCTTTTTATTTTATTATTATTTTTGGTTTTTTTGGAGAAGGAGTCTTGCTCTGTTACTCAGGCTGGAGTGCAGTGGGGCAATCTTGGCTCACTGCAGGCTCCGCCTCCCGGGTTCACACTATTCTCCTGCCTCAGCCTCCCGAGTAGCTGGGACTACAGGCGCCCACCACTACACCCGGCTAATTTTTTGTATTTTTGGTAGAGATGGGGTTTCACAGTGTTAGCCAGGATGGTCTCGATCTCCTGACCTTGTGATCCGTCTGCCTCAGCCTCCCAAAGTGTATATAGGCCACCGCACCCTGCCATAACTTAGCTTTTTAAGATTTCAGCCTATTTGCTGAATTTCTAAAAGATTTACACGTTTTTCGTAAAGGTCAGAAGCCTGTATGGCTTTTAATTTTTTTTTTTTTTTTTTTTGAGACTGGATCTTGCTCTGTGTCCCAGACTGGAGTATAGTTATAGCTCACTGCAGCCTCGAACCAAACCCCTGGGCTCAAGCAATTCTCCTGCCTCAGTCTCCAGTGTAGCGGGAACTACAGGCATGTGCCACCACACCCAGCTAATTTATTTAATAATTTTTTTGTGGAGGTGGAGTTCTGCTACGTTGACCAGGCTGATTTTTACATATTGTCCAAATTCTATTATGTTGGACTTTTTTTAGAATAAGTTACATAAAAATGAGCTATGTTGGTATTAATTGTAATGAAGTCTGACCTGTATCATATTAGGGCTGTTGGAACGTAATTTGTAAAGTGGCATTAGGTTACCTAACTGCCAAGGAGAAAAAGAACCTTAGTTCTGTAATATTTTTAGGAACAAATAATTTAAAGTCTTTGTTGACTCTCCAATTTTAAATAGTGAAAGCACAATTTGATGTTATAATTGTTTTAAGTCGCTGCCTGGACAAATATAATTTCATGTTATTAAGTAGTTTTAGGTAGACCATTTGTATTTGCTTTTCCAAAGATTTTAATGAATTCCTGGGATCAAGGGAATCTGAGATCAAACAAACCTACAGAGACTAAATACTTACTTGACTTATTGTATTTTAAATTGTTAGTAGGTCAGACTGTTTCATAATAGTTCAAAACCCAAGTTTTTGTTTTGTTTTGTAGATGATTCGAAAAGGTGTGTTCAAAGATCAGCATTTTGATCAAAATCTCAACTTCATGTACATAGAAGTTGATAAAGTAACAGAGAGGGTAAGTGTTTTAAATGCAGCATTCAGTAGTTATTTTATTGTTAATTAATTGAGTACTAAGTCATACTAGGTGCTGGTGAATTTAAAAAAAAAAAAAACACACACACAAAAGTAACTATTTCCTTTTTGCTGTTGACCAATTCCTAAATAAAACACATTAGGCCATGGAAAAGATGAAGGGATTTTAAACTGTTTTTCTAGCATAATGAATTTGTTTTTATTTTAGGTCATATTTAGGCCCTCGTCACATCTTCTTTGGATTACTTTCTTGGTCTGGCTTCCCATCCAGCTTTCTTACTGCTGCTGGAGTGATGTTTCTGAAAACAAATCTGATCATGTTCCTGTCCCTGCCTAGAAACCTTTGTTGGCTCCCTGTTACCTTTGAAATAATAAAATTTAAGTTCCTCAGAATGACAAATCCAACATCCTTCTTCGATTTTCAAACCTCTCTTTGGTACACTCAGAACCCCCACCCTTCCACATTTGGCCAGAAGGCATGCTGGTTCAGACCTTCCTGCCTTTGCTAACAGACCTCCCTGAGCTTAGTCATTTCCTGTGCTGCCTCACCCCCAACCCCCTAAAAAATTTATCTTCAAGCCTCAGCTGAAATACACATTCTGTATGAGCCTTTCGAAAACTCCCAGATTGAAGTAATGATTTCCTTTTTTTGGTCCCATTATTATGTCGTATGTCCCTGTCTTTGCTGGAGCACTTAATAACACTTCATGGTATCAACTTATTCGCATGTCTGTCACTTACCACTTCAGGGTAGAGAAAGTACAATGCAAACAGCAAATGCTTATTGTTAGTTTTCATTGCTAACTTGGAGTTGACCTTTTTTTTTTTTTTTTTTTGAGACTGAGTCTCGCTCTCTGTCATCCAGGCTGGAGTGCAGTGGCACGATCTTGCCTCACTGCAACCTCTGCCTCCCGGGTTCAAGCAATTCTCATGCCTCAGCCTCCTGAGTAGCTGGGATTACAGTTGTTTGCCACTATGCCTGGCTAATTTTTGTATTTTTAGTAGAGACAGGTTTTGCCATGTTGCCCAGGCGGTCTCAAATTCCTGGGTTCAAGCGATCCACCTACCTTGGGCTTCCAAAGTGCTGGGATTGCGTGAACCACCGCACCCGGCCCAGAGTTGACGTCAACTTTTTCATTTAATTTTTTTGGTTACCTTTTAAAAAGATGTAGAGCATAGAGGAAACCACAGCAAAGTTTTAAATGAATAGATGATGATGATACACAGTCATGCATCGCATAACCACAGCATACACGCACACACACCTAGGTACGTAGTATGGCCTTTTGCTTCTAGACCTGAACCGTAAGTTGGTGGACTGAATACTATAGGCACTTTCGTAAGTGGTAAGTGTATGTGTGTTATCTAAACATAGAAAAAGGAGAGCAAAAATACGGTATTCCAATCTAAGGGACCACTGTCATATATGCAATCTGTCATTGTCCAAAATGTTGTTATGCACTATGTATATTTTTTTAATATATGTATATTTTTAATATTTTTTATAGACTGACCCCAAAACAATCTGATTTAAGTTATATATGCTTAGTAACTTATTTAGAGATACGCATTTTAAAAATTATTTTTAGGAGAAAGTTACTGTTATGAGCACCATTAATCCAACTAAGGACCTGTTGGCTGACTTGATTGGGTGCCAGAGACTTCCTGAAGACCAACGTAAGAAAGTACACCAGCTAAAGGACTTGTTGGACCAGATTCTGATGTTGGACCCAGCTAAACGAATTAGCATCAACCAGGCCCTACAGCATGCCTTCATCCAGGAAAAAATTTAAACAAGATGAAGAAACTCCAAGGGTTTGAGTAAATACAAAGACTGAAGAAATTTCACAGCAGTTTATTAATGTATATAAACTTATAAATATTTCTCCAGCAAATTTGAGGAAGCATGATATATTTGAATTAACACCAAGGGTGATATTTCTTTTAGAAATGTTAGTTAATCTGTTTTGTGTCTTACGTGAAATTTCACTGTAGAACTGTTTTAAATTGCCAAGACTGCACAAAATTACAGTGCTAATGTATATGGTTGCAGTTCACATAAAGACAAAAGCATCTGTTATAAAATGAGTAGTAATATTGGGTGGTTGATTTGTTTTTAGCAGACTTGGCTTCATTTTGGTCTTGAGATAAAATGGCCAGCATAAATGCTGTTTATATTCACGTTTTCCTAGGTATGTGTGTGCAGGCCACAGCAGCATGCCCTTGGTGTAGTCAGTGCCGAAAGGGGTCTGTTCCTTCTTGAGCCTGCCTGCAGGGATGGTCTCCTTTTAAAGCAGGTTGTGTGCAGCATTCAGTACACTGAAGGTAAGCTAAACCATCAACATCTCTGGTGTTTTAAGATGTTATTTTATTGGAACAACTGACAAATGAGGGATGTTAGCTTTGTGGCAGAATTCCCTGCATGTGTGATAACTGATCTTGTTTTATTTTTTGGCATTGCAACTGTGGCATAGTTACAATTTCTGTTTGTTCATCACATTTAAAATTGGAAGAGAACGCGCTTGATGGATAGAGCGCCTTCAGTGTACTGTTTCTTATTAACTTTACTTTTTTAAAATCAACTTGCTATAGACTTTATATACATTTTGTTAAATATAGTTCCTAGTGACATAGAAACAATGCGTAGTTTTCATTTACTAATTACAGATGTTGAGGCCTAATTCTGAAAGTCCTCATATTTAAAGGCTAGATAGACAACGTAATGAAATTTTTAACTATTTGTATGTCATTTTGAAAGTGTACTGCTTTACGGTAAAAGTGTTTTTCATGTGTTCATTGTTTTCATTATTTGTGATCATGTTGTCTTTCAATACAGGCATAAACCTTCCACTCTTGAACAAAGCAGCTGCTTTTTAAAAGCGGTAATTGCTTCTTTACCTTTTATTTCTTTTGTAAATGAAGCTTTTCTTTAAGAATGTGACTTTAAAGTGTTGTCTATTGCATAAAACAGTTGACACTCACTTATTGTAAAGTGAAGATTGTTCTACTGCATGTGAAGTGGGCCATGCAGATTCCTGTATGTTCTCAGTATGCATCACTAGATAATAAAGTCTTTTGTGAACAAGGCATTTGTAGCCATTTTTAAAAGTTTTTGTCTTCAGTGCTGGTAAGTCAGGTAAACCATAAATAGTTATTAAAAGCAACCTTTTGTTTTTTTCCTGAAAGTTTTTAATTGAAAGTATTATTAGTTAAAGATGTAAACCTAGCCAAAATTATCAGTTTATTAATAATTAGGATCCTAATTATTTCAAAAAATCCTACAAATATTGTCAGCTTTCAGTGTAGTGAGATTATTCCTGTAGGTTATGGGGTATAATTCAGGATTTAACTAATGTTTCTGCTATTTTCTCACTTTTCCTTTTGATGGTGCGGAAAGAGAAAAAGGAAAACGGGGCACAGGCCATTCAACGCCTTCTCCAAGGGGTCTGATTTGCTGAGACACCAGCTTCACCTTCTTAACAAGGTTATTTCTGACAGCATGTGTAGATAAACATTTAGCAACAATTTAAGACAAAATCGTGTAAATCAACTTGGTTTTGCAACACAAAGGAATTTGTATTATTAACATGGTAGAAGAGAATTTTTCAGAAATATATGTAATCTTTTCTGTTTGGGGGGTAAAATTATTGCTTGTCTCCCTGAGGAATATGGAAAATAATCAGATTTTAGGGGTATAAATAATATTTTTAAATTGTAAATGGGATTTTTTTATTCACCCAGGCACCTAATTACAACAAGCATGCACATTTTGGTGCATTCAAGAATGGAAAATCAGAATAGCAGCATTCTTCTGGTGGGTTTTGCTCCATTTAAAGACATGAAATGAACTACAGCCAGGAAGGTGATAGATGATATAATAAGCCACCTCTGAACCTACACCCCGTCTCTTCACGGTTTAGACTTACTAAAATAAATGCAAGGTGATTTTCATCTTCAGGTAGAGTGAAGCCTTTTAAATAAGGCGTCACAGGTGCAGCTATTCTACCTTAATGAAACGGGTAGTGATTTTCCCACCATTATTTATTTTGGTGATAATATGCTGCATATTCAAGTCTTTTGTAGTTATTTTCACCCAAAGTAGTTGACAATTTGATGCTTCTGGTGATGTTTATGGCTTCATTTTATATAATTTTTTAAGTAAGTTCCACTAGAAACAGTTCATCTTATACCTTCAAAACTATTACCTGTTCTTTAAAAACGAAGTTGCTTGTTACTTGTTCTTTGTGTTTTAGGTGCAGCTCAGTGGAAGATGATGACAACCAGAAGACATGAGCTAAGGTTTCTGTCCTATAAAAGATTTATTAAAAAACAATCCTTCATTTAGTTTTTGTCTAATTTTTTAGTTTTCAGCATTATGATTTGGGTTTTATTGGTGTTTGGTATTTAGAATAGTAGTGCTATTGTGGTGTTCATCTGTAAAGTGCTTGTTTTATCATACTTCCTGCCTCTCCCCCTCCCCCAGTTTCTTCTTCCCTAAAATAAAAATAGTGGTCAACTTTAGTAATGTAAAAGGCTCTTGGATGCTGAGATTCCACATTAACACATGGTTGTCAAAATTGGATCTTAAGGATCTTAGAAAAACAGCAACCACCAGAATAGCATATATCTAAAAGTAGTCTTCAGCTTTAGGCAGATGCAAAAGAATAGAAACTGGAATATTAAGAATACTGTTCAACTCCTTTAGTATCTGTTCCCCAACTTACCCTTTAGGAACCTCATTATTAACCAGTGTTCCAGTCTTAAAGTAGACAAAATACTCAGAGCCATTGGTTTTATTTATTTTTTTTTTTTAAGGGAAATGAAGATGATACTGTGGGTTTTTTATGCCCCAATGTAGCATATCTAGACTACCTATTTGAAAGGAACCCTATAAACTGTCTTATGTTCGTATACATGATTTTCTTACACTCTGTAATTTGGCTGAGGTGCAATTTGGAACTTTGCAAGACCTACTAGATTGAATTTCTTTAGTGAATGCTCCTTAATAAATTTGCATTCATCTTTTAGAGTAGCTGTATAGTTTTCAAATGCTATCTGCCATGAAGTTTTTGCTTTTATTATACTTTATGGCATAGTTTTCAAATGCTATCTGCCATAAAGTTTTTGCCATATTATACTTTATGGCAAACATGGTATCAAGTGATTGTCAGACTTGAGGACTCATAAAAGTCTTAGGTATGGACTACTATTCAAAGATGTTAACAGTTTTTTCTAGGGTTGGGAGAATAGTTGAGATCTAGAAAGCATAGACATTTTTTACACTCTGGATAGACTTTATTCTTGAAGGTCATCAGAAATGAGGTTGGAATTTCGAGGTTTTGAGCAGGGGGAGCATCTTATATTCACCCTTAAATTGTTATTAATGCATCCCGTTTTCTTCATTCCCCAATAGCTATCTCATTTCACTGTCTCAAAATTTTGTTTTAAAATAATAGAAATGTTTTGCCATTATTAAGTACCACTTTATTCCTAACAAAAATAAGTACTCAGGACTTTTTTTCAATATGAAATATTTATGTAATGTTTTATGGTATGTGGTAGAGGAAGTGAAATGTAATGTTCTCAGTTTTGTTCCATATTTGCATTCCTTTTATGCTTTACCTGTATTTTATCATTTGTAAGCAGAACTCTAGCTATATGGATAGAAATGAAATCTCTGAGATGAAACAAAGGAATCACACATGATAAAATTTAGGCAAAGTAGTTAAGAAATGGCCCTTTTGAATGTTGAAGATAGGAAAGCAGCCATATATTCAAATGTAATTTTCCTCCTTTAGTTATAATGACATCTTTTCCAATTGGGCTTCATAAAATGTGTTTCTTTCTTAATAGTATCCTATTTCCAGCATATATTCAACATGAATTTTATCATTCTCCTCCTAATGGAATGTCTTCCTTATAGAAATGTTCATGACAAATTCATTTGTTTTTTACATGTCAATAATGTATGCTAAATTAAAATGTTTTCCAGTTATTCTGATAGATGTCATTATGGCATCCTTAATTTTTCTTCTCCTTCTGTATATAGGGGAAGGGACTGTTCTGAAGAACCTTTCCATTTAGTGATCAAGATATGGAAGCTGATTTCTGAAAATGCTCTGTATATTCTAATTATTTGTGGTACCATTTGAACTGTAACTTGCATTTTAGCAGCGCATGTTTCTAATTGACTTACTGGGAAACTGAATAAAATATGCCTCTTATTATCATATTGTCTCCTGGTTTTTTTCTTTGCTTGAGTTCAGATTTTCCTCACAAACATCAAAACATTTTCAGAGCATTAGGTGCAGTGTACACCAAAGGGTGTATTATATTCATGTTCCTGTTACATACATTTCTGCTTTGGTTTTCCTAGTAATGGAAACATAGATAAGTAATGAGCCAACTCCCTTTTTTATAACGATAAACAAATTGGTTCATTGCCCATATGATAGCTTGACAAATCTTGGGCTCTTATCCTCCATCTACCTACTCTTTATTTTCTTCTTTGAAGGAACTGTTTTTGGCTTTTCAAAATAGTGAGTAAAATAAGACAGTGTAGTTTGTGAATCTTAGTGCATGCAAAGCAGGATTGGAGAAAGGCAGTCAGAATGACCTTGTAGAAAGCACTCACCCACCCACCCTGTCGGAGCTAACCATCATAGAGTGGCAGGTAGAAGCTAGTCTGGTTGAATCCGGGCTAAGAAATGGTCAGATGGCACTGGCTCTGGAGAGTCTTCATGTAAAGGCCCCAGTTATAATTTTCTTGGACTGCATAACCATCTGAAGTGGCTATGAGGTTATCGTATCTGATACATTTTAGGGAAAATAGTGTGCAGGATGTATTGGTTGAGGACCTTTCACACATACTTTTTTTCTTTTTTTCTTTTTTTTTTTGAGATGGAGTCTGTTGCCCAGGCTGGACTGCAGTGGCATGATTTCGGCTCACTGCAACCTCCACCTCTTGGCTTCAAGTGATTCTCCTGCCTCAGCCTCCCAAACAGCTGGGATTACAGGCACCTGCCACCACGCCCCGTTAATTTTTGTATTTTTAGTAGAGACAGGGTTTCACCATGTTGACCAGGCTGGTCTTGAACTCCTGACCCCAGGTGATTCACCTGCCTCAGCCTCCCAAAGTGCTGGGATTACAGGCGTGAGCCACCACACTCGGCCACACATACTTTAATTAGAAAGATTCAACCTCATGAAGATCTTGTGAGCTGAGAACCATCAATGACTGGAGAGCTAAACATGGGAATTTATGAGCAAACCAAGTCTAAGTTTTCCTGAACAGAATTTACACGTGTGTTATAAACTGCCAAATGTTTTCTTCTTCAAAGATAATAGTGGACGTTGACTTCCACCAAGTATGAAAAATGGCCACATATTTTGTATTCATGTCTCCAGTTTTGTCCACTACATACGTGGACAAGTGGGTCCAACTTCACCTGTTGGAACCAGGTATTTTTCCCCTGTCAGTCTACAGAATAAAGGAGATGATACATCTCTAATCCCTACAAAACTTGCACTTCTGGTCCCAGTCCCATCTCCATGCCCATTCCCACTGCTAGTCTCGCTGGAAGGGTATCTGTTGCACCATACCATTTCCGTGTGCCTTGGCACATGCCTTGCAAGAAACAGGACCTTGTTAGGAATTATCGTTCCTGCACCTAACTAATGCTAAGGACATCCATTCTCACGATGGTCTGCCCTCCTGTGTCATTCTTACTTCCCTAATTATTTTGTGAATACTTGTATATGCCAGGCACTTTGCTGCTAGTCATTTAACCCTCACATGATTATTACATGAGATAAAGACAGTCTACCCACTTTACACATCAGAAAAATGAAGCAAGAGAGGTTAAGGAAACTGCTGAAGGTGTTACAGGTGTTCAGTGGCAAGAGTCGGTTTGAATTTAGACAGCCTGGCGACAGCTAGTGCTTGTAACCACTATGTCATGCATGACAATTGGTAGTCAAGTACTACCTGCCAGGATACAGTAGCCAGCAAAACAGGCATGTCCTTTCTGAAGGTTTTACAAATACAAATTACATCATGACCCTCAGGGTGAGGGGAAGAATCCAGGTT